AGTTGTACGTTCACAGCTTATTGAATTGGACGCCCACAGTTTTGGAGGAAATGTAGAATTAGATGATATATAGTTTTCAACGAGATAATTAGTAAATTTAGTTAGATTTGAATTAATTGGTTGAATCGTCATTAGTTCTTCTACAAACACATCCTCCACTTCTTCGTGTGAAAAAAGTGATAAACCAAAAACTAAATGAAGCCATTTTCCTACTTCAGAATTAGGATTTTTATACTCTGTTTGCAGTCCACAACTTTGAATATTCCTCCACCAAGCTTGTGATAAATGAAATCGACACCCTACTAAAAGTATTGAAGGCCAGACTTGTTTTACTGCAAAATGTATACCTTGTTCGAAATCGGCAACGACTGTTTTTGGATTTAAATCAATATTGAATGTTGCACATTTACTAATTAAAACTCGAAATAAATATTCATATGTACTTGGTAATTTATTTGGCAGTAAAGAAAATATAAGTGGAATATAGTGCCCATTTTTCAAACCATGTATTGTAAAAAGTTGGTAAAAATATTTAGAACAAAATTCGAATGTTCCATCAACAAATATTTTGTCACAAGTACATAAAAATTCTAAGTTTGATTTGGTAGAAAAACATATTATATTCAACATATTGTCGTTTATAAGCAATAAATTCTCACTCTTGTATGTATTTGTATCCAAATTATTTAAAGCTGTATGCACTTCGGTTACATTTTTCGGTAAAGGTGGTAGCGTTTTTCTACGAGTACGATAAACGCTTCGTCGTATAGAATGCACATCGTTTAATGTTAAATCTAACGCACTTGATTGCACTTCATTCCGAATTAGTTTTAGTGGTCGTGTTGTAACTTGGTCTGTTGCTTTTCTTTTTAATGAATTAGCAACAATTTGTCTATTAATATTTGAACTTACTTCGTGGTTATGATCAAAATTCGATTTTAAAAGCACCGTTTCACTCACATCACATAAAAAATTCGAAGTACACGATTTAATTGTACATCTCCATTTTATTCCATTTTTGGAAATAGTACATTTTCGGAACTTAAACTCGTCAAGAACTAATAACGGTTTACCTTTTTCACTAAAAGCTTTTGTAAAACGATCCATATTGTAACGTCAAACAACTAAAACTTATACTAAACGATTAACAAGACATAAGTATTGGGTACCTATCAATATGATTTATATTTATAATGGGTATCACCAATGTGTTCTTCTATCTACAGTATATTGTGTGCAACGAAACAATTAGGCTGATAAAATATATCCGATGATAATGAAAACTTGTTTTCGTCCATCACTCAAATGCGTACTTCCGTAATCAAAATATGTGCGTAATAATAATAACGTTTCATAAAATTCCCTACATTAATATATATAATAATACACTGTTAAAAAATATATTAAAACATAAGACATAAAGTAATAGGATTTTGAGTTTATGGTAATCATAATATTTGTATTTTGCATGTTTTAACAATAATAATAATTTTTCAAATAATAATTTGAGCATGGCAATTTAGAATAATATAATTTAAATTCAAGCGCAATTGGTATATTGACCGTAAAATATAAAGAGCGCAATTGGTACACTAACCGTAAAATATATGCAGCGCAATTGGTATATTGACCCAAGTATAAAAATTTTGTTTTAGGCGCAATTGGTCCATGCCCGTATTATACGAGGTGATTATTGTGGTTACGAACTAGATATATTATATTGTTCTGTGATATTATGGTATTTATTTTTGTGTAATAAGATATCTACAATCATTCTTTTGGTATACCAGGTATATCCTATGATAATATATTAAGGTATTATGAATTATGATAACTACATGCAATGTTTTTGGAAAAATTTATTAACTATGACTTTTGCATTTGTTCCTAATTGAAAAATAAAATATTTGTTTTAAAATAGAATATATGACAATATTTAAATATAATATATCCTAGACTGACAAATCATCTTCGTTCAGAATCGTTTTTTGAATACAATGATTCCCATCATTGGATTCAAATTTAATCTACCCTAGTCCGAGGTTCACCCCGTCCCCTAATGTACAACAAAGCGGTACCCATTTGCCCGCTTTTTTGTTTTTTAATTTTAGTAAATAGAATATTATTTATTTTTTTCAGAGTAAAACTTAATTATAATAATGTTATTCTAATATACGATGAGATAATAATAACACTATTGACATATTGATTGATTCAATTAAATTCTATAAAAAAAGATTACATAATGATTTAATTTGTTACTAATACTAATATTGATAATCGTTTTTATATTTGTTTATACGTGTCATTTCTAGCTATCGAGTAATTTCACAAAAAAAAAAAAAAAAAAACATTGACAATATGTTAACATCAATTGCAGATTTTCCAGTATTAGTGATAATATCAGTTAATATATTCCATTAGTATGCATAGATTAACAGTAGATAGTGATGTGTTTTTTATTATGTTTAATAATTTTACATTAAACATATTTTGTTTGCAATAAATAAAATAATAATTATAAAAAAAAAAAAAAGGTCATGTTAGTTTTCTTTGCATGTGCATTAAAATGTAAACGATAATATTGTTTTCTATTTTCGCAATATTTTTATCAATAAAATATTCAAAAAAAAAAAAAAAAAATAAATAGAAACATTTTTTTGAATAGATTGAAAATATTAATCAAACATAACATTACGCTTTCCGAAGAAAACAATATTGGATGTGATCATTTCATTGTTGTTAAATAGTAAATAGTACAACAATTCTACTAATTAAAATATTCTTTATAATTTGTATTTATTAATTTAAGATAATGCCAGCGCACCATCTGTTTTCTCGTTAACTAACGCACAGTATAATAAATATTTGTATTTAGTAGATACATTTTTTTTTATTTTCTAGTGAATTGATCTATAATCAAAAATTAAGTTAAAATATTATTTAAGTCAATTCTTAAGTAATATTTTAATTTAAGCAAATTATGTGTAGTATACATTTTAAAACTGTAAAATTTTACATAATGATAACTCATATTTAAATTAAAATATCTGTTAAAGCGTATTAGGTATCCTAGATAATATTACATATTTTAAGTTTGATTTTAAGATAATCTAAACTAATATTAAAGTTAATAATACACAATTAGATTTGTTGAATGAAAATTTACTATGCTGCACGTGGGTCCAAGAGAGAAAATAAATATGAAGCAATGAAGCAGACATCTTTTTAACAGTTATTATATCATGCGTAATTCAATAGTGTAATCATATTGGTATAAAATAACATGTTTATTATAAATAAGTAAAATTTATTGTATATTTACGTTGTATTCAATTTACCATAAGAATGTATAGTGAAGTTTATACTGATACTTTCAGCCACCAGGTAGATATATACATACAATATTGATTTTGCGGTCGATATGTGGTACGAAAATTACTTTGTTTATTCAAAAATATCTAATATATAAAAAATAACATAATATTATGATAATATAATATACGTATAAGCCCATGTGTTATATACCGCGTGTATTTATATTTATATTACCGTGTGAGCTATTCGGTCGAGATATAACTTGGTTATAGTTCAGGCGAATTGCACGTATGTACGTACACACGCCACATGATTACGCCGTTGTTTTAAGTTGTGTAACATGGCATAGTTAAATGTTTTTTTTTTTTTGTTATTTGGAGTCGTTGTAAAAAATTTTGTTGAATGTATTATGAGTATATTTCTTGTGCTATATCTGTATATGTGCGATGTGTGGTGTATATCCCGCAAGATTTGCCTACACCGCGTTCGGTTTATAGAAATTTATTTGACGAAAAGTTGTCTCTCCGTAATTGAGCTTTTGGGTAATAAAACCTGGGTACTTTGTTTAAAGCTTCGGGGTTTATTATTTCCAATATTGTACTCTGACACTAAGAATTTCTATACGGTATACAATATACATATGCCGCGCACACGTAACGTATATATAATGTTTATCATTTATATATATTTTCAAGATACATACATATATATATATATACGATAGGAGGTACTTAACTCCATATCTGCTGCAAGATTTGTTTTTGTCAGCGAGATAAAAACTTTAATTTCAACCCGACGGCGGTGAATTATAATTAAACGAGACTTATTGTGTTTGTATAATAAATATTCAATATTGGTAATGTGATCGATTTTGAACAAATCAAATTGAATCGTAAATAATAACTTTTATTTGACGTTCTTGTATGCAAATCGATTTTTGAAATTTTGTTAATTTAAATTGAGTATCATTCTAAAATTAAACGGAAACCAATTAAACTTTTTTCCTAACAAGTCATAAAATGTTGGAGTAATTATTTTTTTTGTTGGTATTAATATATATAGGCTTAATGTATGTTATATACACACACTCACATTCTACACATATATACTACATGTAGTATATTGTTTATTGTATATATTATATAATATAGTAGTAAATGATATGTTTAATGTTTATTATTGATATTACATTTTTAAAATAATTAATTCATATACTATATAAATCATATTAACGGGTTTACTTAATATTTTCTGTGTGCATCTAATTTTGTTTGAAAATTTAACTTTTAAATATATAGCATACTATAAGTGCCTAAATCAAAATTTAAATTAAAGAAAAAAAAATCATTTTGCACTTTTCTTTGCATCTACCATCTCGTCATGGGTATGGTTTTTGTCAATGAGAAATACTTGTAAAAAATACTTATGACTTATGTACTGTACATAAAAGAATCATACTATAGAACGTCGTCTCGTTTAAATAATCTATTCCAGCCATGATTTACGATAACTTTTGTTTGTAAACAGTTTCTTCTACTCTGTTTCCCAAAAATCTCGGCTTCCTTTTAACAAGATGTTTATCGGTTCGTCGAATTCCGAATACGAGTTTGTTTTTTTTTTTCTCTAAGAATAGTTCAGAGCTGAAAAACTTTACTAACAATATAATAAAAATGTTTTCGCAGAGTATTTGACTAGTACTGGAACTGTTGATGAACTTAGCTTGCTGCTGTCGGTCTACAATAATGGGAAAACTATTGAGCCTTTTAGCTCGAGACGAGAATAGTTGCTGTTCTGCTCAACAAAAATACGACATTTTTTTAGATTTTGAAAGTAAGTATATTACTTATATAATTATATATTTTTTAAATTTTTATGATTTAAACGTTTTTTGTTGAAAACCAGCTGTGTAGTAATTAATAATAATGATTTTTAATCTTACAAAACATTTAATTGCTATGTATCGATCCGCTGTATCCATTCTGACATTCGGAAAAAAAAAATCATAAGTTAACTAAAATATATTGGAATGACTCTAAAAAATGTCTTGGAAAAATAAAATCTTTGAATTTAAAATTTTTGAAGGTATGTTATGACGATAAGTATTGTTTTTTATAAAAAATATTTATAATACGATGGCAAAGAACAATGTCATGTCATGTCGTTTATTTAAACAAATAGAAAAGTTGTTATAAATCTGATGGAAAAAATGCTATGCCTAATTTTTAATGTGTTTTATGATTTTACTTTTCCAATACGTCTTTTGCATCATGTGGTTAATCAATTCAAAATGAAAAGAAAAATTAATTCGAGGGTAATACCTAACTAATAAGTTTATCTTTATTCAACAGCGTGGTAGATATTGATTGGAATATTATAATAATTTATTGGTATTATTGTATTATCTATGGAACATTGTGTTAGTACATAGTGTGTATAATTTGACGTTTTTACAAGGTGTCTATATAATTTTAAAATTTATAATTTATATTATCTAAATAATTTTTTTTTTGGCTTTTTAAATTATCATTTCTTTTTTAATGATTTTTTAATTAGAACTATTTGTACTTAAAAATACATAATTAATTAGTTCTCTAATGCTTCATTATTACTAAAAATCAAATTAAAAAGTAGTTGAACTGTTGAAGTGTTTAAATAATTTAAACTTTTAAATACTGTAAAACGTAAAGTTTTGACATCAAATAAAATGTTCGAAATGGACTTTCATTAGGTACCTCTTAAAGGAGTTGTTACAAACTTTATTTAAATTCTCTGCATATATTAACAAATGTTTTTTCCTATTCACTTAATTATTTAATCAAGACTTAGAGAAAAGAACGGTCTATTTGATTTTTAAGCTGAAACAAATAAATACTAAAGAATATAATTTTTTGTGAGTTATTAGAAAACTGTTGTAATTTGTTTAGTCATTAAAATTAGATATGTGCTCTAGTAGATCTAGCCTATATAAAAATAGTTATAAATAATCGTATAAAAATTGTCAGGTATTATTGGCATATTATAAATATGTTTCTATGATGTTTATACTTACTTTTTAAATGTTGAAACCTGTATTAATTTTTTTCAAATCATATGAGGCAATGATTCAATATTTTATAACCTAAACTAACTTATTTGAGAGACATTATTCAAAGACCTATAGAAAGAAGAAATATTGAACAAATACTTTTACAAGTTATGTAAATTTGTTTCTGAAAATTAATGTATTTACTAATATCAAGTATCAATGATTGTAAAATAATAATTTAATTAAAATTTAATAAGTTGTTATTCGCATAATGCTTTTTAAAACCTCTTCCACTTAGTAACTGATATATAACTTTCTATAGGGTGTAGTAATGTAAAAATAGAGCGTGTGCGCAATATATACGTATGTATTTATCTTTTTTAACTATTAATTTTGTAATAGGTATTATATAAAGTAACTAAAAATAACCTTATCATAAATACAGTTTAGTTGAGTGTAATCTTAGGTACTTAGAGCATTTTAGGGATTTCTTGATTAGCTTTCTTATACAATATATTCTCATTATTTTATAATGAAGCATTCTTTTAAACACAACTGTGTGTAATATAAAAATATAATAATAAAAAAAAAGTTAAAATTAATTTTTTACGTAAATTTTGAATATTTTTATTCGTTTCATAAAAAAAAAAAAAAAAAAAAAAAAAAAAACATTACATTTATTAATTTGTTTTTTGGCACCTTGGCTTTAAAGTGTATAATTTAATAACATCATTCAGCAAAAATAATTTCATTAAAACTATTGGATGACGTTATACGTATTACCGACTTTCTTTATTATGATAATATGACTCATTAAGTGATTCAGTTAGATGGTATTTTTTTTTTTTTAAACATATGTTAATATAGTAATTATTATACTATTGTAATTTATGAGTATCGAACAATTGTTGCTAATATTTATTACATAGATATGCTTTATTTTTATAGACTTTGCTTTATATTATATGTTATGTCTGCATTATGTCTAATAAACGATTACTAATGTTTTATTATTATTAATATCGCATTAATTACGTGATAAACTTTGACCGATGACATTTATAAATTAGAATAAATTAATGTTTTATTTAATTTAAATATCTAGATGCTCAACCTACTGAAAGTGAAATGCAACTATTTGACGAGGTTCAGATCGTGCTTACCGAGGCCTCTGACGTGCTTTCCGATCTTAAACATTATTCGGGCGCTGACCAATACATACGAGCAGCAATTAATAACCCAAGTGCCGAACAAAATGCATTGACTTGGGAAGCGTTGATGCCCCGAATCCGCACTTTGAGACGGTTCTATTTTTTCTCTCAAAAAAATAGGTTAGTTTTTATATATTAATTTATTTGAACTCTATAAACTAAAAATGAAGTTATAATTTGTTTTTAGTTAACCATAATAAATATTAATAATAATTGATAGTTGGCACTAATAAACGTATATAATAAATACCAATCACCATTATCATAAATTGCCATTAGAATTATTTTTATTATTTAGCGATATATTTAATAATATAATATTTATTTGGTTTTCTAGCTTTCGTTGTACCTCAAATCCTGACTGAAATATGTTCAGATGATATAACCCCATCTTTACATTTAGAAAATCAACAAGCTTTAGTCAAACAGTTTTCTGAGATCATTGAGTTTGTGTTAAAGTTCGATGAATACAAGGTGTACTGTCGTTGGCAGTATTTCATCATAAAACTTTATTAAAAGTTGGTTGAGTAACCTTATTGTTTTCAAATTTCAGATGCGAACTCCAGCAATTCAAAATGACTTTAGCTATTATAGACGAGTGTTGATGCGTGAAGGCGCATCAGTGCATTCGTTTGCGGACCAAGATGAAGATTCTAACAGCAACCTGAATGTGGCCAACAAAGTGTCGTTGTTCTATGCAGAAGCAACGCCAATGTTGAGAACGCTGTCAAATGTCACTTCACAATTTTTGAACAGAGTAACTACTTAACTGTTACTATATTATGCAGGCGTTAGCATTATTCAGTATAAATATTTTAACGGTTTTACAATGCAGTGTCAACGGGATAACTTATAGAATAATACATACTACTAATAATTATTTTATTATCTAATACTGCAAAGATTTATGAATAAATGTCTATATATATATTTCTTTTTTTTTCGTTGAAAGAAATTTGTTAGTTTTTCTAAACTTTTTTTGTAATTCGTTTCGATTGTTTGTCATTCTAGCCATAACCATTCCAATAAAATATTTATTCCGCACGTTAACAGTTGAAATTTTTTTCTTTTTATTTTCAGGATAAACGACTCGTTGATTATGCCATCGATATGTTGAGTACCATGGTAAAGGTGTGCATACGCATGCTGGAAACACCGTGAGTCATATTAACTTTCTCAACAGCGTTTAATTATAATTGCAACGTGTTGTTATAAAAATTGTGTGTGTTTTACAGAACGGTTCAGTTCAGAAAACAAGAAACTCACCTTTTCATGCTTCGTGTATTAGTTGGCCTCATCATACTGTACGATCATGTGCACCCTAACGGCGCGTTCGTCAAAACTTCCAACATAGACATTAAAGGTTGTGTACGGTTGCTCAAAGATCAACCGGAAGAGTTTCAGACTGAAAATCTGTTGAACGCGCTGAGGTAATGAGATGTAAAATGTACTAGAAACTGGAATCGAGGCTTTATACCTCACACCTCACGGTTAAGTGATTACTATTTATAACCGTTTGTTTGTTTTCCCTGGACAGGTATACGACAGCCCATCTAAACGACCCGTCTACATCTAAAACTGTCAAATCTCTACTCATGGAGGCGTAATTATTTTATTTCTACAACTGCTCAACCCAAGATCTGATTTTTATAAAATCATATATTTGTATTAAGTATTATATAATTTATTATTTTAACATTTAGTATTATTTTATAAGTTAACGGATACATCATGTACAATATTGTGTTATAAGATATATTTTTTAATATCCTGTTTTCACAACTAAGTGTATTATTAAATCAGTACTTTTATACTAAGATTCTGCAGCTATGGCTTTTTTAAATATTCACCGATTATTTAAGTCCATTTCTCGTGCATATGTCATATATTAGTACCTACTATATTATGCAATATATTTTGCATAATGTATGTAAGTAATAAGTATGTATTTATTATAACTTAATATAATTTAAAAGTTTCAAGATCAAAGAATAAAGTCACGTATACTGAACAATTACCTTATAGGCTATACTATATAACCTATTATAATGTAACTTATATTACGTGTTAAAAGCGCATTAACCAATGATCCTCGCCGTTAGTAATCGGCATATTTTAATTACTACCGATCGCTTATATTACCGCGGTTACTTAAATTCTACAAAAATACACGCTATCGTACAGTTAAGTATATTTTTATTATCTGTGTTTTCAGTATTTATGTAATATGATATAACTTTATTGGCCATTTCATGTTGTCCAGAACGATACTATATAATAATGTAGGTAATATCATCGGCTTATACATTTAATGAATGGATTGTCTCTTCTTTCGTTTTGGAGTTAGATCTATTTTCATGTGCCTATTGATAATAATAATAACAAAACTGTTCAAGTATAATTAAAAATTAATATTACTGCTAAGAAAAAATCAAAGTAATTAATTTTTGCGCAGATAGGCAACCCTAAGTATCAAAGACATTGTATTAAACAATGTTTACTTCCTCTCTGGTCGAGTCTCTTATAGATTCGTCACTGAAGTACATAATGTATATTATAGAGTAACTACTGTACACGCTGTTGGAACTTGTGAAGCTACTTTATTTCGCACCGTGTAAAACATGCCTGTTATTTAGACACCGGTATAATAAATCGCGTAATCTTTTATTTCGAAACGAGAAAATCGCGATCTATCGCGTTTTTTTTCGTACACATATCAACACAGAACGGACGGGCAATTCAATTGCCGTAAAAGTGCGACGCCTCGGAGGATTTCCACGAAGCTGACTTATAAGTCATTTAAATATTTTATGAGTGCATACATATATACCATGTACATATTATGCATGCGTATGGCAAGGGAGAGCGAAAATGTAGCCGATTACGTATTAAAATCGTCGAATGTGAACCTACATATTTCACCGATTCGTTTAAACAAGCCGATTTTTTGGCACTTGAGCATATTTTTCGATTTTGCACGTGTAATACAACACAGGTACGCGTGAAAGAGATGTGCCGCGACATGCGTCTGATCGATATTTTATGAGGTTTTTTTTCATTTGTTTTTATTTACCATAACTTTCGCATAACTTTTTTCTTTGTGCCCCAGTATTTTTTATTCAGACATTAGCGCGAACTAGTGAGGTTATGCTATTGTCGGTATGTACTACAGTATTGTTGTAGTAAATTTCTTAGCGATCATGATTATATTTTTTATGCGCAAAAATATCTAATTTTGATTTTAGAGGGTACATAAAGACATTTTTTTAGAAATATCGATTTTATATGATAACTACAGTATGTAATGACTACTTATTTATGAACATTTTTGCATTTTTCTCCTATCATTGTATAAACGTGTACACACATTAAATAAAATATATGTTTATAGGTACGCAAAAATAAATGTAACAATTTTTATCATATTATTTTTGGGCGCACTCTTTTCGAATTAAATCCGTGCGACGATGACTGTTATAACCCTTATATATGTGTAACGCGCGTGAAGTGACCGTTAATACTTGTACAGTTGTCGTTGGCCGATGTCGCAATGGCGAGGTGATGTGGAAGGGAAGTGAAGTTACATCGTAATTACCACCTGGTTGACGATGTACGACCGGGGAAGGACGATGACGGTAAAATTATACGTTATTTAAAAGGGATTAAACACGCCGTTTAATTATAGGGTAAGTGCTTTTATATTATACGCTCACGAGATCGTTGTTGTCGTCGTCTGTACAAATGCTGCGGATTGTTTTTAATTTAAGCCCCGCTGCCGTTCGCGTTGTCCAGATATCATACAATCGAAATAATTGCAAAAATACGGTGTAGATTCCAACTAGGTATTTATATACACACAGTGATTATATGGATTATTGTTGACGACGTCGTCCCTTGTAGTTATTGTGTTATTTGTAGGGATGAGTGCCTACCTACTTAATATTATTAATATAAAGGGGAGGGTGCGCTCCGGTCCCGTTTTCAATATAAACTGTTATATCGAGGTGCCGTTATTGTTTTAGTAGATGTCGTGAGTGAGACGTGGAGATTTGTAAAACGAATGAAGAAATAAACCGCGTCGTTCATTCCTGTTTGGTTCGTCTCCGATATAACATTTATTATATACCTTACCTATGTACGTATCTAATCTATGGATATAGCGCGCTTTACCGCCCCGACGGCGTCCGAAAGGTATACGACATTTTTATGAACATACGCGTAAACTCAGTACGAAAAAAACAGGAAAATTTAATTTAGTGTCGGAACGCGTATATATATATATTATATAACATGTTATATAATATATATATTATGTACACTGCGCTGGATAAAAACAAAATATATATGTAGTATTTCTATCACGCGTCCGTAAACATTTTGCGGGCGAAAAAAAAAACCAAACATTTTATGTACGGCTTATAAATATTTGATGGTGATATTAAACCTGGGTACAACAATATCATAATACATATAATATATACGCATGCGTTTTCGCGACGTTTTACACCGCTGCAGAGTTTAAAATTTAAAAAAAAAAACGAAAATCGAACTGCTCATTGTTAGCCGTTTAAGTTTGAATATTAAAATATTTTAAACATGATATAGGTATTATACGTAGGTATAATTTAATGATAATTTTGACAAATATTTTGCTTTAAATCTATAAATTTATCCAACAGTATAAAATATTATGTTTCATTATTATTCCGGTAATTTTAATGTGTGTTTGCGTTTCTATATTGTTCATAATGTGTTGTAAGGTATTGTTTATTTTTTTTTCTATGAAAATTTTTTTATTGCACCTTCGGAAATACATAGTGACTAGTGAGTGGTAATTTTAAACAAATTTTTATTGCGTTTTGAATTTCCAAAAACGTATAAGCTATTGATAGTCAATATTGTTTTTGAATAGAAATATCGATAAACGTGCGTGGAACTTACTTTTTAAATTCGATCATTACTTTACAGTAAATTATTAAAGTCATAACTTACACACACCCGCAAAACGGCTAAACTATGTGTAGTCACATACATCATGAATAGAAATTTAGTTGAATTTTAGGTGGAAGTGAGTTTTATGTATATATTTTAAATAAAGTTATATTTAAAAGACCAAATCAATTCACATTACTATGTTTTCGATAAATATTAATGTATTAATTATTCTTGTCCGCTGTATTATTAAAATATTATACTTATGTTGTGGAATAAACAACAATACGGAAATATTATTATAAATTACTATAGTAAATATTATCTCTCCTAATCCGACCATCAACACTGAGTACTTTGTTTTTAATTACGTTTTTCCACGTGGTTCATAGCGATGCGTAGCTTTAGGAACTATTTATGATAGACGTGTACATTCAAAGTAGAATTATATATAATTGAGTAAACTAAAATTGTAGGCGTACAGTCTAGTTTTTTATTTTTAAAATAATTTTATATCCGTTTGCGGATATCAAACGATTGAATTGTTGTCATAAATTTTAATAATTAAAATATTTTTAAAAAAAATATGGGTTTTTAAATAATGAGTTAATAAAATATGATAAGTTATAACAAAGTTATCTACATGTCAATTCCCGTATTCCATAAGTCAACATATTTTAAATATTTTAATAAAAAATTGAATTTTAATTAATTAAAATGTTTGTTAGCTATATAGACCAGTAGCCCGATGCCATTATAGGTATAAAATATTGTACGCAATGGTTCGATAAAAACGATTAAACATGGCGACGTTGGGGAAAAAATAAATTAAGCTTTTTCAATCGCAATATTAAAAGTACCTTTCTCAATCGTTAGTTTAAAGCTATGCCATAACAAATAACAATGTAGGTACACGGAATACACCTGACATATTGGTACCTATTACTTGAAATAATATTAATAATAATATAAAGGGATAGAGTAATGGTCGATTTAAAAATAGATTTTCTCGATAGTGTGGCTTTTGATGAGAATGCTGACTAAATAATATTGGTTCAAGGGCATAACAATATTGAGTAAATACATGTCATAATGGAGTGGTTAACAACGTGCTTTTGAGATAAAAAAATCTCGAAATGTCGAAGAACTTAAAAGAAAGATTATTAGATGTGGCTATTATATTGAGAAAAAAATATTAATTTTTTTTCAAATAAGTGGAATGTTTATATAATTCATCATTTAACACACTAATAATTAATTTTTAATCTTTTTTTTATTTATTTTTTTACTTTATAATTCAACTTTGAATATCGAACGTTTTGCCGGTTTTGGTATCCCGCCCAATATATGCATGTGTGATATAATACGCGTTCGTACAAATGCTAATGTGATGTCTCAGGAATTTCGTAGTTCATGTGATAGTAATAAAAAATATTACCACACGACGACGATGCGTTTTATAATAATCGTGCATGTACTATACCTTTATAGTAGGTGTGACTATACATACGCTGTATGTTTGTACAGGCATTTAATACCTATATTATATGAGAACTGTAATATAATCTTATGTACCCGGACCTAGTGTAATAAAATCTGCGTACAGGGTGGGCCACTGTATTTTTTAGCCTTTCCATAAGTCTTACACAAACCTGTAACTGCAACTCACCCTGTGTATAACTATGATTAAAGTAATAGCTATTGATTAATGTGCTCTGCAGCCACCGCGGTGTGAAAACATCCG